AGGAAAATCACAATCACCATGTTCTCAGACTTCATGGGACTTGGTGTTTGGGCAACTCCAGGGATCAGCCTGGGGAAGGGAATGTTTCAGGGGGACCTAAGTGTGACCATTTTGATGCAGAAGAGAGGCTACAGGAAAGATGGAGAGAGACTGTTTATAAGGGTCTGGAGTGACAGGACAAGGGTTAATGGCTTCAAACTAACAGAGGGCAGGTCTAAATCAGATATTAGGGAGAAATTCTTCCCTGTGAGGGTGGGCAGGCCCTGGCACAGGGTGCCCAGAGCAGCTGGGGCTGCCCCTGGATCCCTGGCAGTGCCCAAGGCCAGGCTGGACAGGGCTGGGAGCAGCCTGGGACAGTGGGAGGTGTCCCTGCCATGGCTGGGGTGGCACTGGATGGGAGTTAAGGTCCCTTCCGGCCCAAACCATCCCAGGATTCTCATACACAAAGCTCCAGCAGCATTAACACAGTGGTTCATAGATTGGTTCACAGTGGTTTCATGTTTCTGGATTACACACACTCAGCTTCTTATAAAGGATCAGTAATTCTCTGGCAGGGAAAACAAACAGCAGAGCTGGCTAAATGGCACTAAAAAAATCTATCAAATGTCTAGCAGGTCCAATTACACAATAGTATATATTTTTAGCATTACTCTGGCTCACTGCTCTTCTGCAAAGTTGTAATAGTTTTATACCAAGCTTGTCTTGGGTATGCAAGAAAAGCTGCATGTCAGGATTGATTTCAGTGCACAAGTTCCAATAACACAGAGAGTAAAATCCCAGCTGAGATCAGCTCAAACCTACTCCAGGCTTCCACTGACTTTATTTCTCATAGAAATAAGGCTAATACCTAGTTCAGTTCTAACTCTTGTTATTTCTCTTGTTGGTATTTCTCTTGGATTTGCTAAGGACAATAATGTTGTCCAGTCAAATTTTACCTCTGCCATTTTGATTTAGTTCTGTCTTGTAGTTTTGATTCACTAGTGCAGCATTTCAGTAATTTGCTTGAAAATGTACTGAAGAGAAATTTGATTTTATGTGCTTTATTTTGCAGCAATAACTTTTCCTTTCCAGGTCTGCATGTCAGATCTGGTTTGTTTGACTAATGCCAACTTCATGTGACAATGACTAAAAGCATTCTTGGTGTGCTTGTTACTGGAAAAGAAATGGAGCTGTTCAGTCCCCACAGCCTATAGTTTTATGTAACACACCACAAACCCATGTAAAACTAGTTGCTGTAGGGAATTATCAGTGATTTTAATTAAATCACAATATTCCCGTGTGTTTGTCTCATTCTGGACCAGAGTGCAAGTCTTGGAGCTTGATGAAAAACCCTCCCCCTCCCCCAAACTGAAGTTCAGAGGGAAATATTTATGTAAATATTGCAGAAACCCATGGAGTCCACACTTTGCTCCTGCTGAGAGAAACAGACTGATATGGGAACAGGGAGGGTTTATCTTCCCATGTGAAGGAAAACGCAGCAAGAATATTTTTAGCTGCTTTTGACTGAAGGGCAGAAAGGGAAAAGGGAGAGGAATAGACCTGCATTTGGAGGCATTTTGCTTTTTAAAGTGTTTTTGCTCTTTTTCAAACAAGATGTTTGGAAGACTGGTTCCCCCATCGCTGAACATCAAACACTCAGCTGCTGGCAGCTGAAACACAACAAGATAAAATCATGCAAAGTAAATTCTCTTCAGGGAGGGAAAGTGGCTTGTTAGATGGCTCCTCCAGAAACACCTGGGGTGATCCCACAGTCAGGGAACAAGTGAAAGCACATATTCCACCTGTAAATATATTAGTTTGGGACATGCTTTGCAAAGCATCGCACACAAGCCAAGCTCCATGTATTTTGCAGAGTGTCACCCAGGTGATTCATTGCTGAATAAAACATGAGCATCTAATCCACCCCGTGGGGTTTTCAGTCTTGTTGTAGAAGTGACAGACACAGTGCCTAGGGAAGAAGAAAAAGATCTTCTGATTGCACTTGGTGCACGTAGGCTTCAGTGCAGAGCACCAAACAATATTTTAGTAGTGCAGGTACCTTGCAGACAGTGAGATGCTTGGGATGCATCATGTGGAAAGGAGAGAAGTCCTCTGTGGGGGAACTAAATATTAAATTTTTATGCAGATGAAGACTTAAGGAAGAAAAAAAATTAATATGATGTTACCTGAATGATTACGGGTTAAATTGCAATGCATTATAACAGAGGTATGCAGGCTAGGATAACAATCTTTGTTTCAAAACTGGAGTCTTAAAGACAGGTTGTGCTCACTGAGCTTCTAATGAAGCTTTTCTCAAATGCAAGAACTGATGCAGCCAATATTGCTGAACTCTGGAATTAAAATATAAAGCTATTAGAAAGAGAAATGTTTTCAATTTTCTACTTACTTTAATTTGAAAGTGGGCTCAGTATCTTTTCTAAGTTTCATACATTGAGCTGTTTTGCCATCAATAGTGAGAAGTATAAATGCAATAATTGTAATAGGATCATATTTGTGTGCAGTATCGACTGCAGGAGTTGGAAGAATCAAATGTACTAAAAACAGTCAAATAATTAACTTAGCAATGATGAACAGAAGAATTAGCATTTTTTGTTAAGCTGTCTGTATAAATACCATGACAATTTCTCCAAGTATCCCCCATAAGTAGTTAAAAACATTTTGCTTTTTGCTGGCTCTTTTTATGCTGCAGTTTTCAAGCTCTTGCCTCCATCACCTGCCAGCACTCTCTGTTCTCTCTGTTGCTCAAACTCTTGTGCAAACAAATTTCTTGGTCACAGCTTCAAAATCTGTGTGGATTTGGCCACTGTGAGCCAGGTAAAACCAGGTATAACTCCTAATTTAGGAGTTATTTGCCAGAGAGTTAATTTACACAAGATTTACACGAACAGGAGTTCATTACCAACCCCCAGGCATGAAGGCAAGACTCAGGTATTGACTATTTACACCATTTTCAGTTTAAATAAGTAATTTTCACCTTGGCCTTACCAGGTCAGGAGGAATCAGTTGTATTCAGCTGATATACAACTGAATAAAGAAATAAGCCAAAGAAATAAGCCAAATTAGGGATTTTTTACATGGGACAAAGCAATAATTGTAATGATCTGTGTGAGGCTGGCAGCTCTCCTTTCAGCCTTGCAGTGGAAATGGGGAGAGCTATTTTTGAATGTGAAAACGTGGCCTTGGGAGTACATAAATGTTTAACTTTGAGTGTTTTCCCCTGATCTCCATCCCACAACTGTGGGACAGTAGCTCTGGGTCCAGCCTAAATGTGGGGAAGGTCAATAGCAGCAGTTCCATCAAATGCAGCACATCTGGATCAGATCTGGCTGGATTTGCCCTCCCAAGACCTTGTACTTAAGGAAGACTTCAAGACTTTATATTTGGCAGAAACACTGGTCCTCACACTGTTTTGATTCTCCCCATTTCTTGTAAGAATAGTTGAAAAAAAATCAAGGTGTAATTTCTGTTCAGTTTTTTGGTGCACTCTGCTGTGTGCAGGTGGGGTGTGAGTCTCAGGGGATGGGGTGAGCATCCTGCACCCTCAGATTTTGCTTTTTCTGGCAAGAAGCAGAAGGAATGAAGCACCTAAACGGAGTAGGGGTCAGAGGCCAGAGGCAGTGGCTGATGCAGTTAAAACAGAAAAAAAAAAAAAAAAAAGTTGGAAATTGCAAAAGGTTTTCTGATGAAATCCGAGGTACTTCAGAGAATGGGGCTGAAAGTTTTACAGTTCCCATGGTGAAGGAAGTTCCTCGTCAGTAAAACAGTGTGCAAAAAAATTCTGTCACTCTCCAGGACAAAGTGATTTTTAGGGATGAACCCTGGCTTTAAGGACTGACATGGAGTTCTTTGTCCTTTGACAGCTGTTGAGAGCAAATTAAATTCCCATCTTTCACGTTTTAGGCCAAGAAATGCTTGACTCATTTGTATAAGGTGACCTAATTTGGAAGGAGAAAGAGAATCCAGGGCTTTCTAATGCAAAAAACCCCAAACTTCTGGGCCTTTTAATATGCAATCTTTGAGTATATAAGCAGATATTAATTCTTTCACTGCATTTTGGTGCCTAAGTGTGAAAACAATTGTGGTTTAAGCCATGTTCTGGGGTATAAGCAGGAATTTTGTGGATGGGAAATAGGGAAGTGCAGGTCTGATGCAGATGTGGCAATGAAAAAAAAGGGAATTTAGGAACATGTTGGAGTAGGTGCCTTTGTAACCCGTGAGGAAAGACATTTCTGCTAGAAGAAAACTAACACAAGGAAAGAAAATATACATGTTTCCTTGTACCTTGGGGAGAAAAAATTCTATTTTCAGATGAGTTGTAAACTGAGTTTCTGTCTTCTGGGGTTTTCTCTTATTAATGCAAGGCTAAAATGCCACCACCACAAGTGCTTCTGGTATTTATTATCATCTGAAAACTTTCATTTCAACAACCAACAAAAGGATACAAATCTAAGCAAATGACCCAAGATAGTGGCTGTGCAGGCATATAAAGCAATTTATTAAAGTTCACAGTGCCAAGAAGGGAGTCTGTTGCTCTGTGGAAAGTGGCTCAAGGTTCAGTACCTAACAAAATAACAATGATTTATGGGTGGGCACTCAAGTTTTAAATGCATGGTCAGACTCTTAAGGACTACTTATGCTGAAGTGCTTTGTGCTGCTGCCTCAAATGAGCCCTCAGTTTTCTGATGTGCTTGTTTATAAAATTGCACTTTGAATGCAGCCTGCTGTGTGGCCGCTTTTAAAAGCCCCTGCAGCTCTCTGCAGTCAGACCGGATGAATGGGAAATGCTATTTACAACTCGAAAAATTAGTAAAACTTGGGCTGAAACGGAGTAAAATTGCCTAACGTCATCTGGGTTTGTGCTGTGCTGTGTTTCTGTGTGTTGAAACACCTTAACTGGAAATCTGTCCTCCTCAGCTGGGCAACAATTGCCACATCTTCCTCTTGCACCTTTCAGTGGTCTCTCACAGCTCCTTAAGAGGTGGCAGTGTGTAATGCAGCAAACTGGATGCTGTTGACCAAAATAAAATTTTCTCCAGCCTTCCTCTCCTGTCACCGTGCCCCAGAGCTGCCGTGTCCTCTCTCACTGATGGCTTTAGAGCTCCAAAATGTACAGGTCAGGCAGCTTTTTTTTTATTTATTTATTTATTCCCCCTCTCCTCGTGCTGAGCCACATGTCATTACCAAATGTAGGAATTGGTCTTCTCAATTTAGAGAAATTAATTTTTTCCTCTGGGGGACTCAGGGGTGCTGCAGCATCCACAGCTTCAGCTGGAGCTGCCAGTTACTCCACCAATTTTTTTACTGAATATTTGTGTAAATATGCAGCTCCTTGTGGTGGCTTGTGGAGGGGAGAGTCCAGAAACATTTCAGACTATTCCAGATGTGAGTGTCCAAGAAAGGACATGCATGAAACTCGTGTTTTTACACTAAAATAGGATTTTCTGGTGCCCCAGGGGTTCTTGATATTTAAGAAGTGATCTGTCCATTCCACCTTCACAGAGCCCTGCCTTGTTTCTTAGCAGGTAAAAACCTAGGAGGTTTCAGAGTGCTCTGGAGTTGAGAATTTTGGTTCTTTTTTCTGCGTTTTTCTAGTGGGAAGGGGAAAGAGGGATCACCCAGCAGCTGAGTGTGATCCAGTGAGTGCAGCGGGTGTTTTGGTCTCTGGGGCATCCTGAAGGGTGGCATAAAATTATTGTCTGAACCCCAGTGAGGGAAAGGCGAGTTCCTGTTCCCCTTTTCTGGAACAAAGGTAATGCATGGTCTTGTGGCACCTGAGCCAGTGGGGAGCACTGGAACACCTTTTTCACCCAGCCTCTGACAGCTGCATTGCCTTTGAAAACATTTGTTTATTACTTGGAATGCAACAGTTTGCCTTCTGAGCAGCCAGCCAGGGCTGATAGCAGAAAAGAAGGTGGGAGATGCTCCTCCATGATTTGAACCATTCTTCCAGCTGGCAGTAAGGTGGAGAATTCTATCTGTGCTCCAGATCTGCTGACCTGTTCCAGGTGAAAAACTGTCCACACGTCACTGGGGCCCAAAATTCTGGATTGAACTGCGCAAAATTATGTGAAATTACATAAATAGTATAAATAAATAAATAATAATCAACAAATAGTAGCTAAATAAACAATATAAATTATAATAATATTTAAGATAATAATATATTACAGTATAGTATATACTATAATTATATATATTATATATATTATATCATTATACATACTAGAATCACATTATATATATTATATAATATTGTAATATTATTATATTATACTATAATTATATATGTATATATAATTTCTATATATTTATAACATTATTATATAGTATAATATAATAATATTACTATTAATAAATAATAAATAAATATTAAATAAACAAAAACATATCTCTGAAAGCTTCTGAAAACTGGAGGGTGTTTTTTTGGTTGTTTAGGGTTGTTGTTGGTGGTAGTTTTTTTGTTTATTTGTTTGGGATTTTTTATTTTTTAAAATATTTTTCTGGGTGGGTAAGTATTTGGGATTTTTTTGCTGGTGTGGGGCTTTTTTTCGTTTTGGTTTGGTTTGTTGTTGTTGTTATGATTATTATTAATATTAGTATTAGTATATTTTAGCTGTCTTTTTTAAATAACCCAGTATTTCTTGGGAAAATGTCTCCAGATGGGATGCTGGTGGCTTTTTCATGCATATTTTTAAGTGTTGAGGCTGATTGATGCAAGCTCATGTCACATTTCTTGAAACTAATAGGGTGAACTCATTGGAAAATGGAATAAGAAAGGTGAAAGGGTTTTCAAATTTGAAACCATGACTGAGAGGTGGAATAAGTTCTATTCTTAGCAGAGGTGCTGAGAAAAAAAAAAAAATTAAATAAAAGGAAAAGGGAGCAACTGCATGAGTATTTGTTCAACATTTGCAAGCCACTGCTTGAAGTGTAAAGATCATTTTGGCTTGTGCCACTCACAGCTTCAGCAGGAAAACAGCTCTGTTTAAAAAAGCTCTGCTATGATAATTTAACTCTTTGTCTTTAAATTCCATCTCAGGGCAGTAATGCTGGTTTTTAACTTCTTATTTGAGTGCAGCTCAGCTGGAGTGGCAGTGCCTTGCTCACTGGCACTATAACTTCTAAACCTTTTTTGGTATAGAAGTTATAAATCTCTAAAATAGGTATATAGCATCCTATAAAATATTATGGGAGAAAGGATGTCTTCTGCATTTGAATCTTCTGCCTAGCTTCAGCCAGTCCTCAGATAATTTGCTTGAGTTTATTGGTTGGTTTGTTGCTTTTTTTACACTTCCTGCATACAGAAAATACTTGCAACACCTTTACTTTTGCTCTGATACCCATAAAGCCATATACATACATACATGTAAATATGTATATATATATAAATGAAAAACTACAACTAGTGACGGCACAGAAAAGAAAAAAATAAAGAGCTAAATACTACCATACATTCATCATGCCAAATTCAGCCACTTTTCTCAGAATTTTTTGGCGTCTGGAATAAATATTGCAACTCTGTCTTCCCCAATTTAATGCTGTATGTCTTTGTAAATACAGCTAAATACTTCTTCCTGGTTTTGTTCTTTATTTTCTCTTTTACTGAGGCTTTTTTGACAGATTTCCATTTGTTTCAGGTGTAAAACTTTTTTCATATAGTACATACATATGGGTAAATACTGACTTTGGGGGTTTGTGTCTGTTAAAATTTACAATTCCCTAAAGCCAGCTTTAACTTAGGATTTGCTTAGGATCTCTGTGCTTCTAGGGACAACTAATTTCCATTATTTACCATGGGGTTCAGTATTAAAGCACACATCATTTAATTCTATAATTGCATCACTTTTCAGGCACGTGCACTGATTTTGTGTGAAATGGTTCTTCTGAAATCAGAAAAGTGTGTTGTTACTTTCAGCTTCCTTTTAAAAAAAAAAATAGAAAGGGATTACCTGTACCTTCCTTATTAAAAAAAAAAAAAAAAAAAAAAAAAAGTGGAAAGGGATTACCTGTCTCTGCTTTGCCAAAGTGGGATTTCAATGCAGTGCTGTAGGCAGAAATTTGAATTAACATTCCTGAGATACAGCCAGTTAATTTCCTGTGTGCTTTAAAGCTTTGCATTTAGTTGCATCTTGATGCTTCAGCAAGCCCTCCAAACTCATCAAGTGACTGAGGGATGGGTTTGTAAAGGCCTGGATGGTCATTATATATGAAATTATAAACCCACTGTTGTACTTAATGGGGTCAGTGAAGCAATCAGGATAAAAATACATAATTCTGCAGCGTGGGTCTGTAAGCATGATACTTCTTAGGCTTTTTAAGTTTAATGAAGCAGCTACTCAGCAGCTGAACGTTCTTGTTAAACAGTCCCAGCATGGATTTTAGAACTAAAACTGAACACCATGGTCTCCTTGGAGAGTCTGAGGCTCTTATTCTCTTGAAACGTCTGCATCTTTTATATGTTAATGGTTTTGACATCAGCCATTTGCTTCATTTTCATTGTAAATGAGGCCCAGAGTCCGATTCCCTTCCCCATTCCCCGAACACTCTCTGCCCTGTAAGCTGCCTCATCAGCCTCCAGCTCGCTCCCCGGGGTGTGTGTGCTCTGAAAACAGCTGAAGAAATCCTGCAAAACAAACCAATTTTCCTATTTTTAGATGCCTTTCTAAGAATATGAGTCCCTGTGTGAAAACTTGTGTGGTGTGCGCGGTCCAGCATCCACACCTCACATGCCGCAAAACCTGACTGCCAAGGCCACCCCTTCAGGGGGGTGTCACCAATTCCCTTGCCCAGGATTTTCTCCTGGGAAGCTGGGAAGCTTCAGCTTCTCCCTGTTTTGCTGCTTTGGAATATGATTTGGAGAATTCTTTACCCCAGCATGTGGATTGTTTTTACTTAATGGCCAGTCCCAGTCCAGCTGTGTCACTCTCTGGTCAGTCACAGGTTTTTTATTATTCATTCTTTTCTAGCTTTCTGATGATCCTTTCTCTCTATGGTTTAGTATAGTTTTAGCATAGAATTTTTAATATAATATAATATCATAATATAATAAATCAGCCTTCTGAGAAATATGGAGTCAGATTCATCTCTTCCCTCTTCCTGGGACCCCCACAAACACACCAACAAGGGGGCTTACAAAGATTGGTGCTGCTCTTCCTCAAATCCAACAGAGCCAAATCACAGGGTTTCACATAAACCCTTGGTGAAAAACCCCTGTTTAGAGAGTTTTGTTCATGTTTGGGGCTTTTAAAGATTCTTCTCAGCTGCAGTGCTGGCACCATACAGCTGTGGTGTATGCGCAGAACACTTTTTTTGAGGGGGAAACTCCTGATTTTAGCATGGGGATATCATCATTGCACCCTGCAAGGTTTACACAGGACTGCAGCCAAGTGTCCCGAGGTGTGCCAGGGAATCTTTCCCCTCTTTTGCAGAGGGATTAACCCACCTTGTGTGTGGTTTTTGGTGCCTGACCCAAAGGGGAAGAGGGCAGGGACAAAGCCCGGTGGAGCCTTCCAGGACCAGCACACCCAGCCAGGAGCATCCATCCCACCAAGGCATCAGGAATTTAAACGCCCAGGCTCCTTCTGGTTGGAATCTGAAATGCAAGGAACACTCAGAACTGTGGGCCTCTAAGGCAAAGCTTGGAATTAAACACAGGATTTGATATGAGACCTTGGAAAAGGCTTCCAAACTTAGGTGCTGGAAGTGAAAATGTGGATTTATAGCTTAAAGCAGAGACATGTTAAGCTAAGTAAAGGAAAGTTCAGAGTTTTAGAGTTTAAGATATAAAAATTAAAGTAGTTACAGAGGTAAACAAGGAGTTTAGAATGCAGCACTGTAGGTTTGTGTGCCATAACATGGTTGGCTAAGAAAGCTTACACTATAGCATAGGTCCATAAGATGAAATATTTAAGGATTGGGTCAAAAACATAAATATCCTTGTTGGCAGTGTTTTATTGGTCAATAACTCCTTAAAAGGTCTCGTACATAGGGGTCTTCTAAACCTTGTGAGCCGTGGGGTGAAGATGTGAGCCAAACTCACCCTTCCTACCTATGCAAAAGATGAGAAAAACAAACCGCATCATCAAAAACAACTCGGAAGTCCCATCTCAAAATTCCTTACAAAATTCCCCACAAGTGAATTATCATACTTGTTCCCAGCACAACCCTTCCTTCCCAATTTCACTTCACATGTGTGGAAGCACTGTGCAGAACACACTCACAGGGATGTGAGGGAGAGCAGAGCAGAGCAGAACGGGCAGGCTGTGATTTCTGCCTCACCTTGTGGCATAAATTACTGCTGTGCAGGCTGTGATTAGGCAGGTTTGTGTGACTAAAGCCCTGTACAGGATTAACTGCCAGGTCTGTGCTCTGCTGTGGGTTGGTGATAGAAGACACTAAGCAGCGTTGAAGCGTTTTCAAAGGGGATTTGAAGCCAATCAACCATTTTCTCCTCCAGTACATAACTTTTCCGCCTTGGCGGACAGTGGCAGCCTTTACATTTGAAAGTGCACAGGGTGAAGAGTGTATATACCTTTGAAACTTTTGGAGGGGGAGTGACAAAAGTCTCAGCCTCTCTGTTTATCCCTCATGGCTTCAGCAGAGAGAAGAAAGCAAAGTTGCTGCCTTGCTGCTTGTGGGACGTGCAGACTGTTTTTTCTGTCACACCCAATACTGCAAACCCCCTTTCCCCGCTGAGCGGGCTTCAGAAACCTGGGGTGGGCAGTCAGGGATGCTCCTTCTCACGCCTGCTGTTGGTCAGACAGGGAGGGATGTGCCCCACAGCACCTCCCTGTCCCCGTTCCTGCCTAGATGGGGACCCGCTGCCCGGCACCATGAGGACCAACCACTGCAGCCACCTGCCTGGAGTGCCTCCGGAGCGCCCACACCCTCCAGCTCCCGATGGAAAGAGCCTGCCTGGCAGCAGCGGGGGCCTGGCCACCAGCTGTCCCCAGTATGTCATGCAGGTGTCCTCCAAGGATGGGCAGCTGCTCTCGTCCGTGGTGCGGACCTTGGCCGTGCAGAGGTACGTGGGGGGCAGAGGGAGGGATGGGCTCTGTCCCCTCTGGTGGGGCCAAACATCCATGCCAGCATCACAAGGGTCGTGCTGCAGAATGCATCGTGCTTCCCAAACACTTCCCCAGCCCCTGGCATGCTGAGCAGCCAGACAAGCTGTTTCTTGTAGCTGTGATATTTTATGAAAAAATCCTTTTGCTAGGATTTTTCTCCTATTCTAGCTGAGAAGCCTCAGAAAAGAAATGTAAACAATTAACTGTCTGATGGCTGTGGAATGTGGTCTGGACATTGTTTACTATCTGGGATTGGTCCATGTTGGTTGTTTCTAATTAATGACCAATCACAGTCAGCTGGCTCAGACTCTCTCTGTTATTCATTCCATTCCTGTTCTTTCTAGCCTTCTGATGAATCCTTTTCTCTCTATTCTTTTAGTATAGTTTTAGTGTATCATTTAATATAATATCTATCATAATACAATAAATCAGCCTTCTGAAACATGGAGAAAAGATTCACATCTCCTCACACAGGGTATCAACCATAGTTTCTAGCACCAGTGCTGCAGCTTCTGTCATCATCCGAGTGACTGACCTTCCTTTCTGCTGCTGGTTTAGAGAGGCAGATTAGTGGTGAAATATATTGTTAACCTATGCCTTTGAAGCGTGCTTCAGGCTGGATTTGTTCTCATTAGGAGCAAGAAAGAATATTCTGATGTGCTTGGCCTCGTCCAGACTTGATGCTTGGGTCAAAATTAAATTTGTCTTTGCTGGCGGTGGGCTGGAAAGGCTTCATGGATCTCAAAGCAGTGCAGAAGAAATACCCACCCGCAGCCCCACAGCAGAGATGTGTTTGTATCCCTCCTTGACCTGCCTGTGGGCTGTCCCAAAGAGAGGGAAACCCTTTCCAGGGAGGGGAGGTTTCTGCCTTCATGTGCTTTTCTGAAGTTGTGCCCCTGCCTTCGGGGTGCTACAGGGCAAGGTGCTGCTCTTTCAGCAGTCCTTTTGCTGTTGGCCAGTGAAAACAACATTTAGGTCAGAGGATACCAAGAAATGCCCAGCTGAGGCAGATTTACAACCTCCTTGATGCATTTTGGGATTTCCTGAGGCGGCTGCACCGCTGCTTTGTGAAGAGCTGGGAAATACAAAATACAGAAGGACCTGGTCTTCTGCCTCTCATCTACCACTGATGTTTTTCACTCTGCGCTTTTTCCCCCCTCTAACAAAAGAGGTATTTTAAGCAAGAATACCAAAACACCTTAAACCATTAACCCACCAGCCTGGATCACTAATCAGAGGGCAAAGCAAACATTTCTAGCTCGCGACAGAGAGTAAAAAATCTATCACCACACCCCTGCAGCGCTGACCAGCAGTTTTCTCTCCCTCTCCTGCAGCAGCCCCTTCAATGACCGTCCCATCTGCAGGATCTGCCACGAGGGCAGCAGCCACGAGGAGCTGCTGTCCCCCTGTGAGTGCACGGGGACCTTGGGGACCATTCACCGCAGCTGCCTGGAGCGCTGGCTGTCGTCCTCCAACACCAGCTACTGTGAGCTCTGCCACTTCAGGTTTGCAGTGGAGCGCAAGCCCAGGCCACTGGTGGAGGTCAGTGCAGCCCTGAAACCTCAATTTTGGCCGGGAAAAATCCTGCCTGCTTCCACGCAGGCGTCACAAAGGCTCTGTGGTCCCAGTGGGGTCGGGCAGTGTGAGGGTGGGAGCTCAGGGGAAGGGTGGGATGGGATGGAGCCCCTCGTTTTGGAGGAGATCAGAACCAAATTATTAGGGTTTGTTAGGGTTTTATTAGGATTATTATTATTATTATCAGTGGGTTTGCTTCACTGCAGACCTGAGTGGAGGTTTTTTTGGCAGCAAATTCCTGGGATGCCAGCCAGCTTGGCTGAGGGTGGAAGAGAGGTAAGTTGCAGTTTCTGTGGAACGTGGGGCAAGTCTCTGAACTCAGAATATTAAATTTAGGTCAGACATTTTATTTATTTCTTCTTCCTTTTGAGAGGTAACAATCTTAGGAGCCTTGGAAACCCTGTCTAGCCCACAAGAAGGAATGGTTCTTGTGGAGTGTCTGGTGTGTTTAGACATTTGTGAGTCACCTTTTGGCCTATTCTTGCCTATGTGCCAGACTCAAAAGTGAATTGGACAATTGTTTCTTCCTTATCAATGAAAATTCAGTTTTTGCCAGCTATAGATAGCAGCTTCATTAAGGTTTTAGGGTATTTTTGGTCCCCAGGAAAAGAAAACAAACCAAAACAAGTTCAATCTCTTGACACTGTTAATGACCTTTTTCCTCCCTTATTGTATTTGTGGCAGAGATGAGGCAAAGTTAGGGTTTCTTTTGGAATTAAAAGTGAAGTACAAGCAACATTTTGGCAAAATGAATGAGAAGAAGCATTTTGTTCCTGTTGGTGACACAGGCACCTACATGCAGAGCTTGGGCTCAGGACAAAATGTCTTTCCTGTGCATCTTAATTTTCCTTTAAATTGTGTCCAAACTGGTGAAGGAGGTACAGCATTAAAAATGGGCAGAGGGAAGCAGCATTTTGTTTTTCTCCTGCTCACAGAGAAGAGGACACAGGACAGAACTGACTGGGAGGTGGCTCAGGGGATGAGCAGTTCAACACTACCAAAATCACTTTAGTTGAGATAGGCATGCACATTTTGTGTCTGAGCCTAAGGATATGTTCATTCTTCCTCAGGATCCCCCCAGAAAAGGGACATAGCAAGGCATTTAGCACAAGTCCTGCACCCAGAGCAGGTCCTGGCCAGCTTGGGTTGCTGCCTCTGGGTTGGTGTCTGGTTCTCCTCTCAATCTTTGCTGCCAGAACTCTGAATCCGCCCTCTGAGAAGAAGCACAAGTGATGCTCAGGCATCGCAGTTTGATTTTAGAGCCCAGCTTCTGGAAGTTGTTCCCTTTGTGATGGCTCCTGGTCAGGCTTCTGCTGCACAAATTGGATGTGGTGCTGGCCAGAGCTGCTGGTGATGGAAGGAGTGGAAAGCAAAGCTGACCCTGCCCAGGATGGGGCACTGTGGTGGCTTGATTGAAATGAGGCTTCTTTTTGGCAAAAGCAGGAAAAAGTTGTAGAAACATCAACAATGATGTTTAGAGTAGTAATGGTCAACCTGCCAGTTGTTTCTGTTGGCTGAGGATGAATGAAAACCCTGAGCAAGGATATTTTTGAAACGTAGCTAAGTGTTTTTTATCTTTACCACTCATTATTTCCTGACTTCTCAGCTGCTTACGCCCACAGTATTTTAGTGCAGAAATCAACAGTTGGGTGCTGTTGCAGGAAAGGTCATAAAAACCCCCAATCCTTTGTGATCTTGTAAAGGGAATATGTTTTCAGTTTAGAAGGAAAATGAAGATGCACTTCCAAAGCTGAGAGCAGCAGAGACAAAGAGTAACTAAAATGAGCTGTATGCCAGGAGGCAAATTAAGCAGAAAGACAATCAAACTTCTTGATTTCTGTCAGTGTAATTTAAATTTGTCCTGGACATTTCCACTTATTTAAGTGTTTATTCCACACTGTTTTGAAATGCAAAGACCTCCCCAAGCAAATAATTGCAGCAAAAATCTGAAACTTCCCAAAGCAGGACTAAAGCAGATGCAAGTTGCCAGATTCCCTCAACTTCTGTGTCCCAAAAGCAGCTTCATGCCTGTCTCTGTGTTCCCTAGAGTGTGAGGACATGGCAGGGGGTTTACCAGGTGTAGTAAGGCCATTTCTCACAAAAACCCTGCTGTAACACTGGGATGAGTGACAAGCCAAAGTGGCCACCTGTTTTTAGCACCACAGAGTGTGTAGGTTTTGGGGTGGGGTGTCAAAGTTCTCTTCGTTTAGTAGCGAGGTGATTAGTTCTCCTAAGATTGCCCTGACCTGGATAATGGAAAGGGTGAATGCTCCTCCTCTCACTGGAGGTGAGTGATGGGTTTTGCCAATGCATTTTAGTAGGTCAAGAGGGGCTGTTGTACTCATGAAGTGATTTATAGAGCCCAGACTCTAAAAACCTGTCCAGGAACTTCTCAGCAGGCCCTGTATTATACTCTTTTTCAAAGGGCCAGAAAAAACCCCACACCAAAAAAAAAAAAACACACCAAAAAAACCAAAACAACAGCAACAAGGAAAAGAAACAAAACCAGCAAAACCACAAAACCAAATCAAAACAAAACAAAACAGACACCAACAACCCCACCAAAAAAAAGCCCCCCAAAAAATCAACAAAACAACCCCAACAAAACAAAAAATAACCATGCCATTTGTGTTTTCTCCTCATCCCTTCCCTAGACTGATCACTGTTTTCTGGTGGCTTAGGCATGGGTGTGGAAGAAATCTGTTTCAGTGGGAACAAATTGAGGCACTTTACTCATTTTATCTAGGAATGTCATGTGTGGATTTATTCCTGCTGTTAGCAGCAGCAGTCAGAATTAAATGGAGCAACTGGTGTGGCTGGTGGCTCTGCCAAATTCCTTCCTCCCTCTGTCCATCCTTATGGAATCAGCAGAGGAGTTGACCAGACACAGCTCTGTGCTTCTGCTTTGCCTCTGCCACAGGATGTGTATTTTTGTCTGAGGGGGAATCTTCTCCCTGGAAGTGCAGAATTTGATGAATTTGAATTTAATGCCCAAAACCCCAGCAGAGCAGCAGGCAGTGGTGGTGCAGTCTGTCAGGCAGATCCAGCCCCTCAAAAATGAATTTGTGATGCTTCTTGGTCCATTTATTTTTTTTTTGAACTCATATTATTCTCCCCAAAAATTTGTGTTTCCACACTGGGAATGTGAATCAGGCACTGTGGTGGTGATGAAAACCCTCCTTCAGCATTCACAGCAGTGCTGAATTCAGTGAAAGGAGTCAAGGTCTGAACCCACCCCTTCTACCCCCTGACAAAGGAAAAAGAAATCTATAATGTGGTGGCTGATATGCACAGAGCTGATTTTCCTTGTGACAAGCCAGCCAAGGGCCTCCAAACCAGCACAGTGAAATCTCAAACTGCAGTAATTCCCTTTCTGCCTTTTATGGACCTTCCATATATAAGCTGCCTTTTTAATGCAGCCAATCCATAGGAAAAAAAAAAATCTGCATGAGGAATGTGTGGTATTATTCATGTAGCTGCTTTTGCTGTGTTTCAGCATAAAGATTAGTCAAGCTTTATGCAAGTATTGTGTATCATCTTCATTTCAATTTCCACATTGCATCTGTGTTGCTTCCACTTGGCTCAGTGCAGAAGCAGGGCACGAAATGCAGCAGTACAAATATATTTATTTATGTGCAACAGTAAAATGTTAGGGAGCAACCAGCTACAAAATAAAAATGGTATAAGAGTATTATGTGACCATATAAGTCAGGCTTATATTGCTTGTAAGTTACTTACATGTTTTAAACCAACCAGGATTTGGTGTCTGTTGGTTCACTTTTTTTTTTTTTTTTTTTTTCTTTTTTTTTTTTCAAAAAAAAAAAAAGCAAACAAACAGAAAGCACTTAATTAACAATACAAAGCTCATAAGCAAAACAGCATGACTAAGAGAAAAAATAAAGTCAGGATAATTACAGCAATATTGGGCAGAAATTAACTTCAGTTTTTCCCTGCTGTGTTGCTGGCTATGAAGCCTATATGAGTAAGGTAAAATAAATTTAAAACCCCTGTAAAACGTACACCTATGCATGAAGTACTTAAGGTGAGCTTACATTATAAATTAAAACCTCACAAAGCCTTACACTGAAATATGAATTCATTTCCTGTGCAAGGACTTTGAGTCACGACGTTTTTATCTGTTGGGATTATTTTTACTTATTTTTCCTCTCCACCGTTCAGTGAAGCAAGTCATTAGCATTAAATTACTGTAAAGAACAGACACCAGATTTGCTGCAGGTAGTTTATAAAAGGATCACACCTCAAGCCAGAAGGAAAATAAATGGTTCCTCAGCCAGGAAAACTTTCATAAATCAAAGTTTGGAGGAACTACAGCTGTCCATAGAGCGTGTTAGGGCTGGGAGCAGATAATTAAGGTGTGTCTGTCCTCCTTCCTTTCTTGGCCCAAAAAGAGCAGATTAAAAGGGCAAGGTGACAGAGACATTTTTGTACCTAGTTATCTCTGGCTGTGAAAATAATCCCCCTAAGACCAACTCACACAGGGAGAATTGGAAGCAGCCATGTAGATTTCCAGTAGAAGTATGCCTGAGTTAAAAAAGGTATTAAAATTTTTTTTAAAAGTAATAAACTCCCCAGCACAGACTTAAAACCATAAACTCTCCAAGATGCATTGTTTGGATCTATTTATTCCTAATGGAGGGAAATGCAGAGACCAAACCAGAATGCTCATTTTCCTTTAAAGAGAAATTAGGTAGCTGTTTTATGTTCCCTGCAGCAAGGATTTGCTACAATGCACAAATCTTTCTTATAGTACTGGCAGCAGGAGTGCAAACAACAGCAGCCCACTCCCCGTAAAAAAAAAAAAAAAAAATTAAATTACTTGTCACTGAACAGACGAGTTCAAACATTCACATCTGTAACTGCTCATCCCTAAATTTATTACAATCAAGGGCAAAAAATACTCAAGGAAAGTTCCCAGGAGAAAGTAACTGAGCAATCAGATTTGCTTC